ATAATATTTTATAAGCTAAGTATAAAATCCTAATCATTATATTTTTTATATAATATGTAAAATGTAACATTGTTGCTCCTTGAATATATGTTTCATAAAGCATAAACAGTTTACAAAATTTGAAAATATTAAATACTTCAAGAGAAATAAAAATTTGAATGATATTACTTTTTTATAATACAGTAATTTAATAGGAAATAATAAAATCGGAAGATCTAATTGTAAGTCAGAAAATCACTGGAAAAAATTCAATTAATGATCTTCATTATGAGTTTGCACTATGTAATGATATTGGACACCCTAACAAAATATGATCCTAGTATTTATATAATGCATCTATCGAAATGATGATTTTGTTGCTTATTTTTACTTATTAATATTTATTACTTTTAAATTTGTATATTTTTTATATTGAAGACTTAAGATTTTACATCTAGAAGAGTAATAACTTACTACAGTAAATGGGCAAAAGGCATAATTAGAATATATCAAGCTAGAAGAGGAGTGTAGAGTTCTATTTGAATTATATATGTTTATTGATTGTATAAATTTGTATTTCAATAGTTGATGTTAATGTCAGTGATAGAAGTCACCATTTTATATGCTAATGAGGTGTGTTAAATTTATGTATAATGTAAATATTATTTTTATCAAAAAACAAAAAAGAAGACTGTTTTTGTATAAACCATCTAGATTTTACCAAGAACTACAATTTTCAACAAATGCTATAAACATTATTTGTATTCCAGATAGAGTTCCAATTTGGTTAGCTTTATCTAGATAATTATTAGATATCTGATCTGAATTTATTCAGATATATGTTTACTATCCATTTACTACTTATATGAGAAATGGTTTAGGAAGCCTGCTTTCAATAGCTAATGCCAAAGGCTGGGTTTCCTAGGCCATTCCCCATATCTGTAAGATTAGTCAGATATCAATAGTAAATAGATATCCAAATAAATCAGATATGGATAAACAGATGACAGATTTATCCAAATTGGAACTCTAATTCCAGATGACTCTTGTATCTTTGTTGAAAAGAATACAGCATCTGAAAAATGTATACCAGGTTGAGATCGGATGTTCATCCAGAAAGCTAGATCAAAATAGTATAATATTCAGAATACTTATTTATATATGTATGTTGTCTAGAAAATAAAATAAAGTTTTAGCAATCTATCTTTGAATTTTTCAGAAAAGAAATATCTATGATTTTCAATCTTAATATTCTTGAAAAAGGGGTGATGCTTTTGTCAATTATACACAGTTCCAAAGATATTTCTAGATTTTCAATTTTTTTTAGATTTTATTAATGCATAAAAATAAAATATTTGCTATAAATTTACTAACTGAATGCTTGTAATAAAGAAACATTGATCTTTTGTAGCTCAGGTACATTATTCTCAACATCATCATCATGCAATTTATTATATTCATTTATGATCAAATATAAAGCATCTTTGCTACATTTTGCTAATTTAAATTTATTATTTTTGCATGGGCTTTTGCCTGAGCAGTAATATTAAATAGGCTGTTTGACACCTCTCTGATGAGTAACTTCAAGTCAAACTTTCCCTTATTATTGTAAACACTATAAATATTATTCTTTTTAATAAGACCTGTTTCTATGTTATTATGTTCCAATATTGACTTATTCAGAATTGTATCCCTATATATAGCAGATAAAATTAGATAAATAATTTTTGATACATTAATTAATTTAAAAAGTTTTTATACAATCTAATACATATGTTAGATTTTTTAAATCCAACGAGAAATTAGTAATTGGATTTAGAACATAGTGCTTCTATGATGCCTCATTGAACTTACATAAATGGTCTTGTACAATATTCATTCTCTATAAGCTTTTTTTATAATAAAAAAAAAGATGCTTAATAAAAAATCAACTTCTAAGATCAACTTTTTTATTTTATACAAGCTTACATTGTGTTAATTAAATTATGAGTTTTGAGGAATAAATCAATATAGTCATTTATAAAAATTTTTAACTTAGGTGGTAGTGATTTAAGTACTAAAGGTTTCTTGACACTATTCCATGAGTTATTTTTCATTAATTTGATTATCTATGATTCTGATATCAAGAATTTCTAATAGAAGTAGATTGCTTTGATCCAATTCAAATTTTGTACTTGAAATTATTTTACTTATTGTTTTAACCACTTTTGATATATTCATAAATTGTAACTTATTTTAAATTAAAATTAGTTATATATTAAGACTGTAAAAAAAAAAATAATAAAGATTTTTCATTACCTTATATAATTTTTTTTGCTTCTATCATCTCTAAAGGCTATATAATATTTGTCTAGTAAGTTTTTCCACCCTAACTTTTTTGCACAACTTTCTAAATGTACACTATATTGAATATACATATTATTTTTATATGTGTTTTTAATAATAAAGCTTTAAGATCCAGCTATTAAAAATATATAAATTTGTCTTTGATTAATTTTGAAATTATATAAGTAATAAATTTCCATATATTATATTTTAAACATTTCTAATATAGAACTATAGGAATTTTGTTGCAAATCAAGTGATATGAATAAAGAAATATCTATATTATTTCTAAACCAAGTGCTACTTTCTATTAAATCTAAGCTTAAAAATTGCTACTTAATACTGTTTTTACTTTGCATTCTCCTAAATTTTGACAATAAATCTCGCTTTTGTGCAGATTGATAACCCAACAAAAACAGGTAATCCTGCTGTGTAACTAAGAAAAATGATCCTTTACTAAAAAACACTATCCCAACTCTAACCTAACCCTAACCCTAACCCTAATCCTAATGTTAATCTTTGTATTTGTTTGCTATCAAAACTTAGGGAGCACCATTTAGATTTTTCTCAAAATAAAATAAAAAATAGTAATAATAAAAACTAAAACTTAAACATAACACGGGGAAAATAAAATTCCATTCATTACAATAGGTGTTAGGATAGTTTTAGGATTTAAATTCTGCAGCTGCCTCTTTAGCTTCAGAATTTGTTCCTGGTGTAGGAATATAATCGATTTCAGAACTCCTATTGCCTTTTTTTAGCTTTTTTATAAATATAGCATCTGATAATAAATGAGATTATTTAATACAACAACAAGAGCAATGCTACCAATAATTAATCCAAGTAAAGTGGTTTATCAAACACATTAGAGCTAGAGCTTTGTGTTAATGTTGGTGTTGAAATTTGATTTGATGTTGAACTTGTAGTGTCTGGAACTTCATCTAGAAGAAAAAATAATGAAGATGAACTATTTTGAAAAATCAATAAATAAAAAATAATAAGAAACTAACTTACCAAAAAATGAAGAACCACATTTTGCAGTATATTGAGTTTTACGATTATTAATATCATCTTGAGCTGTGCCTATAATCGCATAATCACCGGGGTTTGAAGACAGATAATTTAAAAACGTGATCACAATAGCTTGTACACAAACAGTGCACACAATTTGAGAAGGAACATTTGTAATATCAGGTAGAACAGTAAAATTTAATGGATTAGAATTGGCACTGATACACCGGCACCAGCATATAACGCGTAATCTTCCCAATATTTAAAAATACATGATCCTCCAGTAGAATTTTTAAAGCAATAGGAACTTATTAATGGTGAATAAAAAGTAAATAAAAGTTCAACAACATAAACGTAAGGATTATTTGTAGCTATATCAGATGCACAGTCTATTTTGAAACTCGAAAGGGTTGAAGATATTAAAGTATCATTGCATTTTTGTAAAGAACAAATCGCATTATATAAAGACATAGAATATGGAGAAACGTTTTGTTGAAATAATAAAGAATAGAGGGTCATAGAAGGAAGGCAAGCGTTGATATCTGTTGCATTATAAATATTGCCAAGGCTTGACACACATGTTGGAGAAATTTTGTGATGTTTGGGGCTACTTTATAGCCTTCTACAATATAATAAGCGACAGATGTAACATTGCCTATACCACAATTTAGAGCTTGGAACTATTAGGCGTTATTTGAGAGAATGTTAAAATAGAAACAACGTCCGTATCGGTATGCATTTATATAATAATTAATGATTGGAGTCATATGACGCATTAGCCTACGGAAAACTATCACAGGTTGAAATAAAGTGTATCAAATAATTGTTACAGAAAAATCAGGTTTGATATTTCCTGATTCTTGGCCCCACCGTGACAACGATAAAGATATATCAGGAACTGATAACTCTATCAGCTCCCAATATGTCTTTGTTGTTATCATGGGCGCTGTTGTAACCGTGGGAGAGACTTGACTAACATGAGCTCGGGGTTACAAGCATAGGTTATGCAGAGCGGAAGTTCATTAGGGGATTCGGAATTAATGGCAATGGGTTATTAAGGAATGTATTTATTTATTTGGTTATTTAGTCGGACAAAAATAATTAATAATTCTTTATTAGTTTAGTCGTTGTATTTATACTTTTCAAATTCTAGTGGTCCGGGACCAAGGTCTTGGGTCTCAAATCGATATCGGTGGTCTTGGACCAAGATCTACAGTCTCAGACCAATTTCGGTGTTCCTGGACCAAAATCTATGGTCTCTAATCAAGATCCGTGGTCTCAAACCAAGCACAGCCATACCATATAAATAGCGCCAACAAATATAGTAAAGAATGCAAATACAATGTAGAAAATATAACAAAGAAAATTTAAACACAAATTTTGTAACAGCGCCAGGCAGTGTTTAAAATTACCTTGCACAAGTAGATTTTTTTTTGTGCAAGGGAAGTTCTAAATGTATATGCGTAAGTGTGGAATTAAATTTTAATAAGGAGTTTGCGCAAAAAATGATGTGATGTGCAAGAGAAATTATAAAATTTTATTGACAAAAATTTAGTCTAAATAAAATATGTGATAGGATAAAGATTTTCCTAAAAGTTCCGAAAGGATAATGAAAGAACATTAAATACGAGCAAGGTTGAGCTTAAATTTCGAGGAAATGTCCAAAATACTACGAAAAATTAAGTAAAAAAAGAAAATATAAGATATATTTGTATAGTAAATTTATGATGTTGGCATCATTCAGAGACAATAAATAAGTGCATATAAAAAGAAATTTATATGCACATGTGTGCAACTAGTGCAATTAAAACCTATGACACAACTGCATTTGTGCATGTAAGGTTTCGATCTGAAATTTAAACACTGGCGCCAAGAATCAGAAAAAATCAGAACTTGGTACTTTTGTAATATTTATCTGATATGCTTTATTTAATCATTATACAATTATCTAGGCAAAATATACTTAAAGTAGAGTTGGGCAAATTAGAGTTTTTTCAAATTTCATGCGCATGAAATTTTGGCCCGCATTATGGCAGCTTGCTGCTAATGCGGACCAGAATCATGAGGTTCCGAAATATTCCCATGCGCATGATCACAACACTCTTAAAAGTATAAGATTAACTCAATTTCTTGATCATTTGTTACTAGTGCACGGTGTTACGCGTACCTGTAACTCTTGGCACGAGCTTACAGTCATTCAAATCTGAATTACAAACAGCTAAGAATAACGAATAATAATATTAAATATGGCTAGATTGTTAATAATTATCATTATACTGTATTGTTCTGTATGTTGAATGTATACAAAGATTTTAACATTAATGTTAATATTTAATATGGATAGAAAACTTGTGGCTCATACATATGAAACAAGATATGAAAATTTATGCAATAAAAATGACTTCATACTTAACAGCGACGGTGATAAAGAAAATTCGAATGAAACAATTTAAATCACTTATGTGATGTGCTCAAAGAAGTAAGAAGCATTATATTCCTTCAAAATGTTAACATTAAATTATATATTATCAAATTATTATATATTAGAGTAAAAAAAATCCCAACCATTTCACGAAATGAACCGAATTGAAATATTTGGCTAAATTCTTTCCGTTCAAATTTTAAAGCTTTAGAAAATATGGTTGAAGACATTAAAAAACTTGAAAACCGCAAAACAACTTCTCGAACTTGGCGGATTTAAATCATAATACAATGTATTGGTTCACATAATCCTTTCAAGCTCTAAGTAAAGTTGTAGAGGTGTTTCTTGCGATCAAAATGGCGGTTAAAACGTTAAAATCTGCCCAGTGGATCGCGAGATATAAGCACTTTAGTCTTCGCGACTATATGTTTTTTTCTTTATTTATAAAGAAGAAAACATATAGTCGTGAAGACTAAAGTGCTTATATCTCGCGATCCACTGGGCAGATTTTAACGTTTTAACCGCCATTTTGATCACTGGTTCTTAGGCGGATCACGAATTAAGTTACTTTTTACCGTAATTTCAACCTTGCGGACACGTGAGTAGCCGTGGCTTGTGACTTATGTCGTTATTGATAAAAAAAATGCTTAACATAAATTTTCATGTAGCGAAAAAATGTTTGGTTTATTAAGGGAAAATCGAGTATTATGCACACTTAAGAGTTACACACAAAATTTAGCAAAATAAAATAACGTTTGATTTATTATTTAAAAATAAAAAAATCGAATTAAAAAAACTTCGAAATTTGAACTTTTTAAAATCTATGGCGCACTATGTATATCGCATTGTATTACGTACAATACTGCATTCTCCTTCCAGATACTGTATTGTCCGAATGAGAAAAGAAAAATTTAGCACGTGCACCATAATATTTGACCTTTGCTTATGTCTTGTATTTCAATTAGAACCAAGCGATTTTTATATCATTTGGTTCGTTTCAATGAGACGAATCGAATGGTGTTAATATTATTTGATTTTTTTGAATGTTGCTTAACAATTTAGAAGCTCTACAGTTAAGATACAAATATATTAAAGAAGATTTCAAAACAAAGAAATGTCGATTGTAAAATTAAAACAAAAAAGTGAAAGTATATACTTAGTTTAAAAGATGATAAGTTAATACCTTTATATACTATTTTAACGTCAGTAAAACAGTTAACATTTTCATACACACGTTTATTAATTATATCTATAGATCACAATTAATCACAATTTTTGTTAGATATCGCATTTTTTACCCTTTCAATGATGCATGTGATAATTAACCAATTAAATTGTATATGAATTCATCGTTTTACAAATGACAAAAGATAGTAAATCTCAAAATATTTCAAGCACATTTGGTTGTCTTGAGATGTGGGTTTTTATATTTTTGCAACGGATTAGCAAGCACTAGCAGGTAATATTAAGGATTTATTTGGCATTTGTAAATGCAAATATTCTTGGTTTAAAGACATTTTTCGCAATAGTGGGTTTTAAATTATAATAATATTTCAACAGAAAATAGACCAAAACTTATTTAGAATTTTTACAAATGCTAAATATTATATTTTGGTTAAAATTATGAAAACATTTTTTGCCATAAACCAAAACATTTTTTTGTGATTATAGAAAACTATTTTTTTGACAATCTACTGTGTCATGAGATAATGGAATCGGTTCCTAAAAATCTGATAAAATATAAAATATAAAATAAAAATAAAAATAATCTTTTAATCATAGGATCTGCCCGTGCGAATTTCGTGGGAAGCCTCGAAAGCGTACGAAACAAGCTAAGCCCAGAAAGCCTCCAAGTTGATAAGAGAGATATTAGTAAAATCGTAAAAGAATCGTCAAAACATCGTGGTCGCATCGCGATAAGGCCTTGTCACAATGGCCCCAAGACCACGGTAGGAAATAACAAAAGATGAGGTGTAATCAGTAAACCTGTTGCAAACCCATCTGATTGAAAAAAAACAAAGAACCAAGCGATTCCAAAAAGGCGATAGCGTAGTTTTTACTGCCGGGAATAAATAAACAGCAGTAAGGACAAATCGGGTAAATCGTGTGGCCGTGCTAGTCGGTTGTTGACATTCGCGTAAAGAAAAGGGCAAATGAGTGTAATCGTGTTAGAATTAGTAGTAATGATGTGATAGAATAAGGGACGAGACTCCAAATTCTTTTCTTCTTTTTTGATTCTTGCATTTCTGTATAAATAGAGTCGCGATTTGCTTGAGTTGTAAGGGTAGAACTGTTCATATTAAAATAATAAATATTGAATTTAATAAAAATAAAATCCAATATTTCCTTTTGCTTCTAAAAATCATTCGTTTTCCAAACTGATAAACCCCTAGCACAAGTTTTTTTCAAATTTTAACAGTAGCTCTACCTTGTTTAGAGCATCGGGAGAAAGTCGAGTGTAACCTGAGGTTGCATAAGGAGAGCATCTTCATGCGTTGCGAATGTTGCGAATATAAAGTAAAATTATATTATATAATTGGAAACTTTACTTTGTATTCGCAACATTCGCAACGCATGGAGATGCTCTCCTTATACAACCTCAGGTTACACTCGACGTTCTCCCGACGCTCTAAATAAGGTAGGGCTGCTGTTACATTAAAAATTTTCGCCCATACTTAATTTTTTTTTTTTTTAAATTCGAAAAAATTCTGTGTTTAAACGCCTTGCATTGCCAAATCTCTTTCGTCTCCTTCATCATTTATTGGTTCTGTTGCGTGGTTGTGTAGTTTTTTTTTGTGTGTTGTATTCGTGTGGTGTCTATATCGACCTGTTTCGTTTTGCTTTCAACATTATAAAGCAAGCCAATCCTAACCTTAAATTTGATGAAATAGCTGTCGGTGAAACGGTTGTTGTTTTATACCGTACAGTACATACGTACGTCCTGATTTTTTAGTGGCAATACTAGGTGGGTTAATATTACCGATCCGTTTTTGATTTCAATATTTGAGACATCTACATCGATTAGCCAATCAACTCGTAAATTTTTTTATGAAGCAAAAAAAAAAAAAGCGAAAATATAAGAAATAGTGTCAAATCTGTTTTGAGCACTAATAAAAACATGTTGGGAGAGCAATTTTACTAATAACACTTATCAAATATTAATCCCATTTTAAACACTCTTTAAAATAAAAAAAATTTTAAAAAAATTGGTTCGCCTTTAGACGGTTCAATTAAATCAAGTTAATGATATCTCATCACAATGAATACACATTTGACGAGTTGTTTTAATAATTGTTATTAACATTACAGTATTACATAATCAATATTATTAAAACCATGTGAAATTGTTTGGTCGTCCTTATTGTACTAGCTATTATCTGCAAGACAAAGTAAAGGTATCCAATTACGATTAGCGTTAGTGATTAGCTCATAGTAGTTGATAATAATGCAGAGGTAAATCACGTTATTTAGAGTCAATTGGTAGTCATATTTTGCGAAATCACACGATTTATCTTTCATTTGTTAATTAATATTACTACACATGAATATTGTATAAAGAAAATGACAAGAAAAAAAAAAAAAAGATGAATAATTGATAACGATACTGTATGTTTGTTTTTTAGTTGAACGAATTTTATTAAATTATTTCGTTAAAAATAAGCAAATCATAAATTGAATAGTTGACCAAATCTTTTTTCGCGTACGTACAAATATTATTATTTATTCGAGTATACAAACCAGTTTATATAAACCGAATAAAAGGCCAAACTATGTAATGAAACAAAAGTATTTTTAAACAAATCTAGATTCTGGAGAACAATAAATTATTTTAAAATTTAACAAGCATTTTTTGCAGTCTGGATTCTTGCAGCTTGATCTGCCTTGGAATCTATCAAAAAAAAATTAAATTTATTAATCGCCGAATCTAATTTATAATTTATATACAAGAGTAAAAGAGTAAATCATAACTTACCGCAAGTGATCGAAGTACCCGGTTTATTCACAAGGGGAAGTACGCAACATGTCAAACCACCGCTACACTGTTGAAGAGCCCAATTGTTTTGACTGACACATTGAGCAAATTCGCCATTAATACAAGCCATATCACCAGGATTACATGGAGTACTTGTGGTGAAAGTGGTAAACTTATTTTGAAGAGCCTCCGCATCTAACCCGTTTTGTTTTTTAAAACATGTTGCTGTGGAGTTGGAGCTGGAGCTGGAGCTGGCCTGGTTAGCCTTTGGAGCTTTTGGAGCTTTCGGAGCTGGAATTGCGTTGACGAGGACAAATACGGAAGCAATGAAAACCAAAAGTTCGAAAAGATAGAATTTCATTTTTATTTTTTTCAGGAATATAAATAAGGGTAAAAAAGATTCTTAATATGGTTTGTAAGAATTATAGCAGTGATTGAAATATTGTGTTTCCAGAACACTAGAATTAGTTCAAAAGACTTGTTTTTTTTCAGAACACTAGAATTAGTTCAAAAGACTTGCTTTTGTTTGAAATGATCAGAGAATTTAGACGGCCATTTTATATAAGTTTTTTTTTCAATATTTCAATATTTGAAAAAGGTTTATGCCAAGCCTTTTCCTTGTATGGATAAAAATGATGTACAGAAAATATACGCGTTCTACACCAAAATTTATTTTTGGATCGTAATTCATCCGGCGTAAATTTGGTTTCAAAATTATCGAGGTTTTTTTTTTTTTTTTTTTTTTTTTAAATTATTTGTATTATCGAGGTGAAAAGCTAGAAATAAGAGTATTGTTCTAAACTTGAACATTTGGCGCACGTTGTTTCATTTCTTTTTAAGATCCTTGGATTCGGTTACTGTTCTTTATTAGATTTTTGTCTTCCAAAGGGTCACATTGCATGTTTCGAGATTTAGTATGTTTGAAACAGTACATTTGTTTGTCAAAACAAGGAAGACAATTATCATATATATATTGATATCGATATCTACAGTAATATACATATATATACGCATTTACGTATAATAGTGGATCGGACCCTACCCCTAAACATAGTAATTGAAAGACATATTGTTTTGATTTGCAATTCATTTATACAATATTAGAGAACTATTATCGTTCATAATTTTTTATCATAATTTTTTGTCTTAACCTATTAATCAATCAAAATATGCTAATTTGAATATTATTAACTTTAATAATATTGCATGTAATAATTATTATATAATCTGAACAAATAAAGAATAAAGAATGATATCTTATGCATTTTTTTTGGTTTAAGCTTTATAGTAATTGTTTCGGTCAAATATCCTTATGTATTAAAAATTTCATCTAATAATGCATTATCTTTATTTTTACTTGCATCTTAAAATATTAAATAAAACCTTTAATAGTATCAACAAAATTAATTCGATTAAAAAAGTTCAAGATTGATCTGGCTAGATTTTTAATTCTGTAAGAATTGGAGTCTAAAATCAGAATTCAAATGGTTTGATATATATCGATATATATATATATATATATATATATATATATATAGTGATATATATTACGTATGATAAAGTTATTATTTATGCACTCAACAATTCTGAGTCTGTAAGTCAGTCGACATAATGCAGTAATGATATCAAAAAGTTGCGATTTTCGTTACACTTGATCTCGTGTTTTACCATAATACGATATATACTGATACCTATTTACCAAAATAAATAAAAAAAAGCTTATTGACGTTAAGGATTAATTATACGTTTATTTAATGTATGAAAAAAATTTGTTAAAAATTCATACTAATTGTAAGTAAGTTATTGTTGATTGGTCTAATACTCTATAACATCGATGTCATTAAGAAAAGCCAATTGGTTCTACTATATAATCAGATCAATAAACCTCCTAACATGCCGCTTCGCGCGTTCATTTGTCAGGTTGAATCAAATTTACCATTATTCAATTTTTGCCCAATAACGTATACTTACAGTAAGTATTTCTTTTTTTCTAACTTTTTATTTGTGATTAATATACAGTGATATTTATTTATGCAATATATAAAAACGTTTAAGAATGTTATGTTATGCAATGCAATTCGAAAAGAAAATGGCAAAGAAAATATGCAAATTATAACAAAGATTATGAGAAACGTTTTTGGAATTATTATACTAAATTTATTTCGGAAAAATTATGGTTATTGACAAAAGAATTATTTGATTAGGATAAACTGCAAATTTTTCGAATTTAAAAGATTAAGAGATAAAGTCATGAGGGGAAATATAAAAAGTTAATTGAAAATCGAGAGAAACTGAAGGAAGATTGCGAGAGATAATATCATTCATTGGATTCTGGTATCAGAACTTTGTGACCGGATATGATCATACACTAAATTACTTGCCAAACCCAAACATCCTAACATTAATAATAAAATTAACAATTCATGTATTTTTCGCGAAATAACGGGCTCTCTAAAAATAGAATGCAATGTTTCAAAAAATGGCGTCTTAAAATAATGCGCACTCGATAGTCGATAGAATAAAGTCTTCAAATTTAATTGTTCGATTTTAATTGTGTATACAGACCACTGATTTTTTTTTTTTTAAAAAAAAAAATTTTATTAGTGAATTTTTAGATGAAACTCTCCAAATGCATAAAAAATTGCAGGCTTTCTCTTTGCATATTCAAATAACGACTTCTTGTACATTATCTTGAAAATCAGAATTTGCCTTTGTCTCAAAATTATCCACTTAGAATAACGCGTATACATTCAAAATAATTTGCAGATAAGTTTTAGTTATTTCTATTCATTGATATAATTTTAAATAGTATTCAAAAAGTAATTTACACTAGTTACCCGACTTTCCATGACAATTTATCGTTATGGTACTGTATATCATCAGTAAGTGAATCACACGATCATGGATGATTATTAATTGTTATTTATTGCCTTTTTTTAACGTTTTTGGTTAAAAAAAAAACTGCATATTTTATTAAATTATTATGAATCAAATTAATGTTATCAATATGTTGTAGATTCCAATTGTCAATTGCCAAATTTTACTTAACACTAAATGCTAAATGCTCAGCCTGAATTAAATTTTTTTTGTTTATCGCTATGTTGATCATTTAGTTCAGACTAACGTTTATGATTATATTTGATATGTAAGTTATATACGTACTGTACGTAAGTTATTATAATTTAAGTATTTATTACAAAGTTTTTAAATAATTATGTCATAAAATTAATATTTAAATTTAAGCTGAAAATATCTTTATTGTTTCTTCACACAATACATTGATTTTCAACCAATAATTACTAAATCATGTAACTAATCTAAAAAAAGTTCTATTAAAGTTTCAATAATTTAACGTTGCAAATTTCAGAGTGACCTAAATTTACACATGACAGCCGATCAATCATATCGTGAACAAATCTTCATCCACATTATAATTTTTTTACTCTAGTTCAATATAATGAAGGATTTTAAATTCCAGAATTATTAAACTTCAACTCGATATAAGCTATAGTGAAGATTTATTTCTCAGTCACTATAACGAGAGTAAGTAGGATTATGCTATAGTAAATCTATCTTATTGAAGTATCTTATTGAAGTATCTTATTGAAGTTACTGTGTATTTCATTAGTAAAGTCGCAATTGTAGTAATTCTTTCAAGAAATACTGTTCTTGATGGGTCTTTTGTAGAAAAAAATCTTAATCTTCACAACAAACATAATCTATATCATTAGCGAACGCGCAATAAATATTATACTGTATATCGAAAATTTTAAAACTATGCCTTCATATAGATCGTAGGTTTGAGTTTTGCGTAAATTACAAAAGATCCCTATTTTATTGTCTTTTTATGTAGTTATGTAGAGCGTAGAAGGTTCCTATTTTTTATTACTTGTTAACGGAGAGCCATTCTCTAGAATTCTTTATTAATCTTATATTTGTTTTTTTAAATTTTTAATTTTTTTATCCTTATCATTATAATTAATCTGTGCAAGCATTAGTATTAGTATCTCCCAAAGCTTTCTTCTATAGTTAGATTAAGAATGAAATCCAACTTCAAGGAAATTAATAATTGTATCTAATGCAACGCTACTATGTGCTACTGTGTCATGTTATGTCCGCAAAATTAAATACATGAGATTTATTAATCCATATACGTGTACTTGAGCAATATACTATCTTGATTGTTTCCTCACTGATTTCTCTAGAATCATACGAACCATTAAAGCTACATTATCATTAATTATTTTGTACAACATTATCAGCATCGATAACCTATGTACCGTTGCATGTCTGATATTTTACGTACGTACTGTACGTACGTATGCACTATCTGCTATCATTCCCTAAAACAATCTAACCACCAGACAGGAAGCAAATATACGTGACATAAATCTTGTGGATCTTCATTCCTACACTTCTCACATGTACATTCAAATCCATAAGCTGGAATTAAGTGTATTGCTCTATCCTCTTTATTTAACGTTTCATTACAATAACTAATAAAAATTTGTTCACCTTTTTGAATTTTTCTTAAAGTTACTAAATTCATATTATTCTCTTTAATTTCTCCTTTATTACTTGATTCTTCTTCGATATTTTGATTAGAAATATATGGATCGGTATATACATTTGGTACACATGAATGATTTATAAATGACATAAATTTATAAAGGCAAGCTAATCCATCTCGTCCAAATGTATTCACTTGAAGTTTACACATTATAGTAATATAAATCCAAAATTCATATCTTATATCATATTGTGAAATTTCAAGTATTTCAAGTGTTAAAAAGTAAAAATCAAAATATATTGATGGTAAATATGTTTCCATTTCTTTCATTATTCCATATTTTTTTATATTTCTAAAATTTGGTTTATATTGTGCAAGATATTTAATCTCTTGAATTTCAAGTGGTGAAATGTTTCTAATTTTTGCATATGCAAATATTTTTAATAAAAATAATGGATTGGGATCTCCATTTCCTGATTTATTTTGACAAAGAAAATATAAAAATGTTTGAAGATTCTTTCCACAAAGTGCTGGATGATATTGTTCCATTGCTAGATCAAAACATTGTTTATTACAGAATATTTCTGTACAATTTACGTTGTTCTGACAATTAAATCTTGTTGATATATTAATATTTTGATTAAAATCTTTGTAATTTAAAATTTTGATATAACGTGCACAATGACCACATCTTGGTGATGTATATCCATGAACGGTAAGAAATGGATCTTCATTCAAAATTACTGTCCCTTCAGATATTTCTTCTTTTGCAAATATTCCTAATTGAACTGTAAAAGTTTCATTACCCTTATTCTGTCTATTTAAATTCATTAATGCAATGTTTACATTTTTGGATAAAATAATATTTAATTCTCGTTGTAACTTTTCAATATTTATTTCATCCCCGCGACTTTCCAATCTCTCTCTATCCCAAGGATAATTAAATCTTGTCATTCCCATATCCATGATTCTTTTAACGATTTCACTAGAATTTCTAGGATTTGATGTATGCTTTAAAGATTCATAAATGAACATTGTATTGAGTGCTAACTTTGAATTTAACTGAATTTGATATTCATCCTTCTTTTTTAAAAATTGTTGACGAAGTTGCTTTGAAAGAATATTATTGTATAAAGGATTATTTAGAAAAGAATCTAAAATAGAAATAGCGCGTGGAAAAACCCCGAATTTTGAAAGTGATGATGACATACGATCAATAGTTTTTACGTAAAGTAATTGTAAATTTTGATCTTTTATATTTTGATCTTTAAGAAGGTTATAAGCTTTTAAAGCATCTGTATAACCAAGTTCAAATATTTCAAGTTTCATACTTGTAAGAGATCTATTAGACCATAATACTGGATTTTTGGGCGTTTGTGCGAGACCTCTTGTGTAACAATTCCATGCTGAAAGGTAATCTCCTTCTTTGAAGAATTGGTTGCCTTCAATGTGAAAATTCATTATAATTGATTATGGTTAATTATAATTGGTAATTATTATTTTTTTTTCGTAAAGACCCATAACCAAATAATTGTGTGTGAGTTTTGCAAAGGTCAAATATTTATTCATCAAATAATGATGACCGTGTGCATGAAAATATGATGATATTTTATTACTATAAAATTTTAATCTCAGTACACCTCTCCATCCATATTTACAAATTTTTCTTGATGAATGATTTTGAATTTGATGAAATCACAATATTTAAAATTATTAAAATTATTAAAGGCATTTATTTGTTTAAAGTCATTTCTCCAACTAGTGACTACTCGTGACTCGAATAATTCGAAATTATCATGAAATTTTTACTCAAGAGTTACTCGCGAGTTAATCATGAAGTTTAAAATGATTAATAATCTGCATTGAATTATATTTGCTTTGTGTAACTCGCTATTTGAAGTATGTTTTTGTATCGTTATGAATTAATTGTCGTGATTCGAATTACTCGAATAAAACTCGAATAAAACTCGAATAAAACTCGAATAAAACTCGAATAAAACTCGAATAAAACTCGAATAAGTAATTCGAGCACTTTTCTGGGTTTAACACGAGTCACGAGTTGATATAATCCAGTCACTACCTACCTACAACCATCAACTTTAACAGCAAGATTTTCTTGCTAAAAATATTAAAATTACTCCATGTTCGATCTCTTTTTTTTTAGTATTATTAATATTAATGATGCTAAAAAATTTTGAAATTATTATTATAAATAAATAATACCATAATATTATTGGTTAATTTGAAAAAAATTGGATATGTAGCATCTCAGTTATAATATGATCATACCGTGATCCTATACGACCACATCATCCATCGAATAGAAGAAGTATCTGACTATGAATTTAATGAGCATGAAGAACCTGGACGCCACAGGGGCTCAAGTACAAGCACATCAATTTCATAGCTAGATGTGACTGTTATTGACACAAAGCATCAAATGACGGTTTTATTTTTTTTCTCGTTTTTAATAACAATTATATGAGCTGATGAAATTTATTTGGTATATAAAATTTATTTTATATACTTGAAACTTATTAATTAAAGGATAATAAAATTATTTGCGTACTGTTCCTATGAAAAAAAAACCTATCCTGTGAATCCCATGCAAATTATGCATGTGGGCTTGGTGCTGGTAAAAGGAATGAAAATGACGAAAAAATTCTTTACAAAAAATTAATTATCTTCATGAACCAATCATGATCACATGCTTTGGTACTATTTGATTCAGATGAATTGAAAGGAAATTATACCGACACAGCAACCACGTGATTTATCTCCTTTATCGGCACAGCAATGATCGATATGACGAAGATATCACGAAAACCACTAAGCCAAACTCGATAAACTTTTTTATTTGAATTCTAAAAAGTTCATCGAGTTTGGTGGTTGTCTAGATATCTTCACTCAAGTTTGAAAACGCCTATCAAAATAGATGTCCTAAAATTTTTTTAACTTTTGAGCGAAGATATCTCGACAACTACCAAGCCAAATTTGGTAACTTTTTTTTTTTATTATTATTTGAATTCTATAGATTCGTAGATTTCGAATAAAAAGATTTATCGAATCTGGCTTGGTGGTTGTCAAAATATCTCTGTTCAAAGTTGGAAAAATTTTTAGTGCATCTATTTTGATTAGGGATTTGAACAGTTTAACTGCATAAAAAATTTTGTATAGTTCCGGGCCGAATTATGATGATCATAGGCCAGGTCAATTTTAATGCTGGCTGAATTAAATGTTAAACGATTAAAAAAATTTTAGATGGTTCTTATCCCTAAAATTTTGATAGACATTTTGAATTTTTTCAAACTTTGAGAAAAGATATCTCGACAACCACCAAGCCAAATTCGATAAACTTTTTTTATTTGAATTCTATGAATCAGTAGAATTCGAAGAAAAAGTTTATCGAGCTTGGCTTATGGTTTTCATGATATCTTTTGTCATTCGCCTGTCGATCATTGCTGTGCTGATAAAGGAGATAAGCCGCGTCGGTATAATTTCCCTGAATTTAATGGTACTAAAATCATGTGATTCTGATTGAAATAATTTTCTTGTCAATTTCGTCTCTTTTCCGTATCCCACATAGGATTTTGAGAAACCACAGATTGCTCATCACTAAAATATTATAATCTATTGTACTGAAGAGTTTACTAGTCAAACGTGTGGGATTACATTTTAGAAATAATCTAAAAGATTTTCTTGTGTTTCATGCAAAATCACAACGAACAGATATTTCAATGGGGCTCGCAGCATTCTCTTGGAATACTTATCAGAGTCAGTTATCCTTTTTGGGTAGCCTGGTTGAATCATCGATCGTAGAACCGTTACATGGGTTTGCTAACTTTATTTATCAAAATGTTGGGTTTAATATCAAGATAATTTGTACATGATACTTTCAATTGCAAGTATTGTTTAAAGATTAAAAGTCATTCTTACATCGAATTGCAGAAAAGTGACATGTCACCATAAGATATCTATTACAAATAAACTTTTGGATTTTCAAATTCCTACCAAGAGTGATTAATACAGTACCAAACGCTCTGAAATTATGTACCCTTTTTTTTTTTATACTCATCAGGAAAATTTTAAATTGGTTGGCAATCGATCGATTAACAACAATGCTGCTAATTAAAATTGATTAGATTGAAATCTATTGATATCAAAACTAAATTATTTTTTAATCGATTGTGCATCGATTAGCTACCAATATTTGTCGATTTTCCTAATCGATGGTATCCACCCTATTTTAAAAATTTCCTGATGGCCTGTAATATTTGATACTCTTTTATTAAGTGCAACAGATAACTTTGTACTGTATGATATAATGAAAGTTATGTAAATTTACCTAGGGATTAGCAACGTTATTCGTTTAACCACCTTTAACCGTTTATTTATATTATACGGTTAAACGATTAAGAAATTTTATAAACGCGGTAAATTGTTCGTTTAACCGTTTTTAAAA